CCCGCCCGGCCACCACGGCTGCCCTGAACGCTCTCTGCTGCTGCCTCTGCTGTCACTGTCAGTGTCCAGCTGTCAGAATGGCTTCACCGTGGAGCCTGCTTCAAAGTCCAAGTTGGGTGCATCTAATTGCCAAGTCCAGGCCATGTGCCAACACATATGCCCAGGCTCCAAGGTGCTGGGGAAGCAAATATTTGGAGATTTTATATTCCATTATGATAATTAAATTCAGTTTCTCCCTGAGGCTCATAATATAAGGAATTATCCAATACTAAGAAAGAGGTTCAGATAATGGGCAACCAAATATAAAACTGAGAAACATACACAACCCCTAAATACTACAAAAGCCTTCTCACTGACTTCTTTTATCTTGCCTCCTGTCCCCTGGCTCTGTCTCCAACCCAGGCTGCAATCAGTCGGGTTTCTAAATTGCAACTCTGGGATGTTTCTCACATACTAACAGTCTTCTTTTGTCTCCCAACTTCCCGTAGGATAAAATTCAAGCTCTTTACATAGCTTCAGGCCCTCTCTGACCCCACTCCTGCTTTCTAACCTTAATCTATGGCTATTTTCCCCATCTCCAGGGAGAGATCTGTTTAACTGAACTTCTCTCAGCTACCTGGATCTCTCATAATCTCCTGGGATTCAGTACAGTCATGCACTGAATAAGGGCATTTTGGTCAATGACATACTGTATATGCAACAGGGGTCCCCTAAAATCATAAAGGAGCTGAAAAATTCCTATCGCCTAGGGATGATGTAAGCTGTCCTAAAGTCACGGCGTTGAGTTGTAAGGCATTGCTGTTTTTTGCCAGCCTCAGTCAATCGGTATGGCAACTCTATCAGACAGAAATGGCTGTGACATTCGCCTGAGCTAATAAGCTTCCCACAGACATCCGTTTTTTCCAAGCCAGTGTTACACCTGGCCCGATCTTATGGTTCTTATTACAATTGCAAGACACTTCAGTGATGACTACTAGGAAAATTTGAAGAATAAAAGAATTGATAACTTGCCGGCCCTGGAGAGTACAAGGGCACAGAGCCACTTCTCAAGTAGGGGAGTGTGAGGGGAGCACGCTTTGGGGCGGCGGGGGGCCCTAGGGTTTGGAGGGCTCACTCTTTATTGGTGACTTTAAAATATAAGAGCAAGAATTTAAAGTGTGGAAAGAAAAAAAAGAAAAAAACAGCCCAAATAATTAATTACCGAAATCAACCAACATGTGAAACAAAGGAGCCTCAGTCACAGGAGATGCCCTGGCTCTTTCTCTAGCCGTGTGGCTGGTGTTTACTCTAGATAACCTTTGCTGAAGCAGAGGCCTCTTAGAACAGGGTGCCTCTTTGAGGACAAAGGCATCCTCCATGACTTTCGCAAGTGTATATATAAGGGAAGGTCTGTTTCTTTAGCAACTATTCATGGAACAGCAGGAAACATTATGAACATGTGCTTTATTGAGGAGCCCACACCAGCTGAAGCTGAACAAGAGCACTGGAGGTTGGTGGAAGAGGACTGCCACGTGGCAGTGCACTGTGCGGCAAGCTGGATGCCAACTCTCACGGCGGCAGACTCCCAGTGGGAAAATCAGAACCATTTTCAAGGCCTGCATGGAACTTCACCATCCTCCCCAATAGCACAGAGTTCATCCTGCATCATCTCAGGGCCGTATCTGGAGTGACAATTCCCCGGGTAAACATCCACATGGCCTTTTCTACCTAATGTTGGTCTCAAGATCAAAACCACCTTCCCTGCGTTTACTATTTACACACTGGTGCTGATCGCATTTGGTATTGTATTCTTGCTGAGGAAGAGAAAAAGCTCCAGGACATGGGCCTCCCATTGCTGCAAGCCAACGGAACCCCAGAGCTGCAGGTGCTGGAAAGCTAAGTCATGATCTCCCCAGATGTGTTGTACAAAGAGGAGATCAAGATGCACAGGACCCTGGGGCAGAGTGGCCAGTTTGTCATCTGCTTCCTGGGATCCTTTGTGTCCAAAATGTGCTATGGCTACTGTGTCTCTGAGATCACGCACTTTGCACCACCCAGGGGACAAATATGTGCTTCCAGATGGCTTCATAAAGCTATTTTCCATGGAGAAATTACTTTACCAGATTGCACAAGTGGAAACAAAAAACAAAAAAATGGCCCTATTCTTTATTATTATTATTATTATTGATTTGAGAGAGATATCCATCTGTTTCAAAAGTTAGTCACTTCATAATCAACAGTTTTGTTTCCAATATTTACCTGGATTTTCAGTTTAGCCTGCTCCACTGGTGGTTGACACAGAATTGTTAGCTAGAACAAGAGTTTCAAGGTCTAGGCCATCCTTACTAAATACTATTCTTGCTAAACGTTAAAATGTAGCATAGTATTTTGCAAACGAGCTGCAAATAGGATAAGCTTGGTAGGAACCCAGCCTGATAAGTGTGGCCAGCTGCAAAAATAAGAAATCAACAATAATGTATTTAAGCAATGGCTAAGCCTCCCTTATGGGAGGCAGAGCTTTGAATATGAATCCCCTGTCTCCTTTATTTGTTGCAAGTAAATAAAATTACCTTGCAACAACCACATCTTGATTTTTAATAGAGCACTCCAAATGGTGAACTCCCTGAAGTCAGTAATAAAATCTTTCCCAATCTCTATCAGCAGTGAGTTCAATACAGAAAGTGAATTAAATCTAAACACATTCAAATATTCAAAATATACTAATTATAGCTAATTTCCATGTATGGGCTATATTTAAGAATTGTTGAGGAATCAGAGTGGTTTCATCCTGGAGCCCATACTGAACAAAAGAATTAGAGTAATGTTTGGGTTGACAGAGGGGGGACAATGATGAGACCACTCTAATGGATTTGTAAGATTTACTTGGACAACAGTGGGAAACACAGGTTAGTAGATAGAGAAGGACTAGAATGTAGAGAATCTCCTAATTGAGGCTTAACAAAGTACGTAACCTTTCTAAGAGCACATCTAAGACACAAGTATAACATTCAACTAAAGAAGATATGGCGGGTTACTAATGAACTTTAGGATCTCTGGTTATAAATCTTATGTTGAATTAGCAAATTCTATCAATCACCATATCCTAAGTGATAGCAGTTCCTTCAGGGACATTTCTGGAACCCCTCTACCTAATGCTTTTCAAAATTAGAGAAAAAATAACATTTCACTTAATAAAAGAAAATCTCATTACTCTAGGCAGAATCCCTAGATGGGAAACTGCTCCTAAACAAGCAGCTCAATTCTATCCTCATAAGGCATACTTACCTTCTGGAGAATGAATATCTCACCAAGTTACTCCTGCCCCAACTTATGAAGTTGAGTTTCACCACACCCAGAAAGCTTCCTATATTGACTTTCAGACACAGCCTTGAGGCATGGATCACCTCTGAAGTTTTCTAGATCTTCTCTCTATCATTCTATGAACAATATATAGAAAAAGAACAGAAGAGAGTAAAAAGAAAGTAACTGCCTCACAATATTTAATTCAAAACACAGTATAATTTAAACTGATGCCCAATTATTTGGCAGATAATGAAACACATTTCATTTAATGCTGGTAATATTCTAATATAAATGTCCTATTCAGGGCACAGAGTGTTCTCACATGTCCTTGAAGGTTAGATAAGCTCTCATAGCAACCACGCACTTTCCCTTTCCTTTGACACCCTATTCAGATTTTCAATTATTTGTATATTATTTGTTTAATGTCTTCTCCACATACCCCTCTTTAACACACCTCCTTAAACGCAAGGATTGTGTCAATAGGCTGGATCCAGAGTGAGCAAAGTTCAGCTCCTGTGCCAAAGCTATCCCACCGCCTATTTTTGCATGGCCTACAACTAACAATATTTTTATTGTTTTAAACTGTTGTAAAAAATATTAGTGTCCATAAATAAAGTTTTATTGGCAGACAGCCATGCATCTTTACTCACATATTTCTATGGTGGGTTTGATGTTCCAAAGGCAAATTTGAGTAATTACATAGAAACCATAACAACCCACAAGGTCAAAGGTATTTACTATCTGGCCATATATTTAACAAGTTTGCCAGTCCCTGGTCTAGAGCATGACTAGACCTCTAGCACCCTAAACTTTATAAGTGATTATTAACTATGCATTAAATTAACTGTTGAGTGAATGAATATGAATGCACATGGCTGGACAAAGGAAATAAGGTTCCAAATATTTCATTGAAAGCTAAAAACAAAGGAGGTTGGAATCAACATGTATTTTGTGGTCATTTTATAAATAGGGTCAGATTTACTGAAAATATCAATAAGCTACTAATCCCATACCATTAATGAAATTAGAACTTCCATGAGGTGTGTAGTGGGGGCAGAAGGGAAGGAGGCCTTGGGAAGCGCAGCAAGACCTACGCTCATAGTGTTTACTGCAGTATCATCTTCTTCAATTACTCAGTGCTGGTCAGTGGTATACTTAATATTCGCTCACAGGGCAAACATTAAAATAAGATGATAAATACAAGTATACTTAATGTTTCTTCGAACTTATAGAATAGAGAAAAATCAGGTCTTACACAGTACAGTTGGCCCTTGAACAACACTGGGGTTATGAGAGCCAACACTATTTGGAGTCAAAAATTTGTGTATTAACTTTTGACTTCCCCCAAAATTAACTACAGCTGGCCCTTCGCAGCTAGGGATGTGACCAAACATGGAGAGAAAACAGTATTTTGGATTTGCAATTGCAAGTCTGCAGTTGGGAATGTGAAAATGCTGTTTCCACCAGGGTTTGTTCAATCTGCAGATGCGAAACGGAGGATAGGTGGGGCAGGTTGTATTTACTGGGGGGAAAAAAAACAAACACACAGTTCAAACCCATGCTGTTCAAGGGTTAACTGTATATTTGTTCACCTTAATGTTTCTCCTAATTTGTAAATTAGTAGCATTAGGAACACACACACACACACACACACACACACACACACACACACCCTCCCCATTACTACTCATGGCAATACCGTCTATGTTGTCTTTCAGAAGTAAACTGATATCCAGTGCCTCTAGCCTTCCTGTTGAAAGCAGGCAAAGAGTGCATGAAGGCTCTTCAAATATGTCAGAGACTTCCTCCCATGACTCCTTCTACGATTCCCTATCAGACATGCAGGAAGAAAGCAAGAATGCTGACTGCTTCCCTGAGCTGTCTGCTTTTCTCAGCCAGGAAGAGATAAACAGGAGCCTTGACCTGGCCCGGAGAGCAATAGCCAACTCGGAGACAGAAGATTTTGACTCAGAAAAGGAGATCTCACAGATTTTCAACGTCTCTCCCACAAGCTTCTGTGAAAATTCTTCCCGACAGGAGACCAAATTGGGTGAGCCGACGTCCTCGGGGAGACCTCGGGACAACAGGCCAGAAGAACAGGCCGAGCAAATCTCCTCACCTGGTGCAAGGCGGAAACCTGCCACCTCACCCCTGCTTGCCAGACCCAGCTATATCCGGAGCCTGCGGAAGGCTGAAAAGCGTGGTGCTAAAACTCCCAACACGGGTGTAAAGCCCAAACCGGCATATCAAGGTAAGTCTGGCCCCCAGAGCCAGCTGTGTGATAAGGCGGCTAATTTCATCGAGGAGCTGACCTCTATATTTAAAGAAGCGGCAAAGCCAAGAAACAGAAGCCCCAATGGGGAGTCATCTTCACCGGACAGTGGGTACCTGTCTCCTAAGAATCAGTCGTCGGCCCTGATGAGTGTCTCCGCCAGCCAGAGCCCCACCGAAGACGAACAAGAAATGGAAGCAGAGATGAAATTACCCGAGGCCAGACATTGCTACCGGGAAGGCCAGGACGAGGCCGTGCCGGGCCTTGGCATCTCTCACCCCCAGCCCCAGAGCGCACTCCACTTCCCGTCGGCTCCTCGCTTCGTCCAGAAGCTGCGGAGCCAAGAAGTGGCAGAAGGAAGCAGAGTTTATCTGGAGTGTAGAGTCACTGGAAACCCAACGCCTCGAGTCAGGTAAGAATTATTTTATTACGAATATCAAATGATTTGTGTCGAGTTTTTGGTTTTTGCTTTAATGTGAAAGGAGAGGAGATTCCCTCTATGGTTAGTCTTCTGGGGTCTGAGGTAGTGTTTTCAAGTACCTGAAAGGCAAAAGTATCTCAGAATGGCGAATAGTAGTTGACTGAGTTGTCCCTGGTGAGATATATTTGTTGGCACAAACCACCTAATATCTGGGGAAAACAAAGGACTGGACAGGCATAGAAGAATACAACAGGTTGATGTATATTGGACTCTGGAATTAACAGCCAGGGAAGCTTGAAATGTGCAACCGATTTATTCAAAGTACTGTGAGAAGCGTGTGCCTGATTTCAGTGTGAGTCGCTGAAGATAGCGGAAAGTGTGGCTAAAACTAGACGTTGTCTGGGGGCACCGAGGTGAATGGCGCAGGTGTGCTGAGGCCCAGCGCCAGCATAGCCACCAGATACATCATCTGGTCTGGGCCTGGACTAACCCGGCACATGTTCACTTCAAGTAAGCACACCCACGTGTGTTCTATGTTGTGCAGCTAAGGAGGGCAGAACTTTGTTTAACAAATATAAACCAAACCAAGAGTGGTACAGGTCTATTGTTCACACACAGGCTCCAGCCACGAGAGCACAGGCGCCGCATAAAAGTAGCAAGTACATGAGTGTGCAGTTAGTTGGAGTCAAAAAACACTTACACCACCATGTCCATCATAATTTCTATAAATTCTTCCTCCTTAATTGCAGAATTTATAGCTTCTGTGCAAAAGGTTAAGAGAAGTGACCCTGGAGGCAGACCGCAGGGTTTCCAATCATAGCTCTACCTTTTACCAAGTAGGCAAGTTACTTTGTTGACTCAGGTTCTTCATCTGCGATATGGGAAACATAACAATACCTACCTCATTCTATTTTATGATGACTAAATAAAATAATATGTAAGAGTAAAACAAGACCTTGCACCTAGTGACTTCTCCATTGGTACCACCCATTATTTTTATTATTTCTCATTTCTTAATGTCCTATGCCAAGTTAAAAATGGCATTTCAAGTTAAGATGATACTATAAAAAATAAACCATTCATTTATTTTGAAAGCTTTGCTTTTATTAGTGAAACATGTTTTTACCTAAATTGTGCAAATAGAAGAAAGTAAATTCAAAATTATGAAATTTAGAGAAATGATAAAGGAACTCACTGGCTAAAAAACCACTGGTTCTTTTAATTAATATAGCATTCACAAATCACAAACATTACCTCTCACTTTAGATCCACTAATACATACTTTGCTAGAGTTGGTTTTTTGGGTTTTTTGTTTTTTCAGTTTGACTAATCATTGCTCACAAACATGGAGTAAGCATTAGCATACTGGCTTAAAAGTGGTGTAGAGGCAGAGAATTTGTTTCCAAACCAAATTTGTTCAACTAATTTACCTTGTCAATTTTTGCAGTAATTTTGCTATATTTTAGAAACTGACAGCAGGGGGCAGTAAAAAACTTCTTAATGGGTTCATTTAATTAAATATGTCCTCTTAAATCCTGTCATCTTAATACATATCTTTGCCATAAGAAAAGTTTCTTATAGTTTTGCCTGCAACAGAAATGAAATTGAGTATTTCTTTTGGACTCTATTTAATATTTTTTAAACCCACTAACTCAGAGAACATTTTTCATTAGAAATATATTCACATGCCATTCAAGCAGTTCCACAGGTTTTTAAATTACATATGATTCCACTCACATTTAAAATAGGCCCTGCCAAATGTATGATCATGGGCAAGTGAGTATACCAGACCTTTTCAAAAATGACAAAATCAATCCATTTACTATCAAAGGATTAATTGGACTGTATCAAACTTCACTTAACCACCTGATAATTTGGGGGGCTATCAAATTCATGCTTCTGCCTTTTGTTTGTTTGTTTGTTTATGTAAGGGGGTATTAATTGAATTAGAAGCTACAGAATTATTAACTAGTTTTCTTTTATCTCTCTGTCTACCAAAGCCCATGACCAATGTTCATTAGTCATTACAAGTTGTGCCCTTCTAGAATAATTAAGTATTTGGTGAGAATGCTCCATTGTTTAAATGACCATCATTAGCTAGTCATTTTTGTATCTTTTGAGTTTTTGGAGTTGGGGGTGGTTTGGGGGATTTTGGGGGTTGGGGGTTGGTTTGTTTGACTGAGCTCCTTTTCCACATGAATCATTTGACAGTCTAGAGAGAAAATCTTTGAAGGAAATTTTGTATGAGGAAGAAGACTTTTAATAAAGAGTTATGTGCTCTGGGCTACTTTTAGAGCCTGACTCACACTGATTAGTCCAGAGACTCAGGACCCAGAGATTAGATAGCTTATTGATTGGTGGGCCACCTCTGTAGGTCCCAGAAGCAGGTGACAGAACTTGTGGGGAGAGACCTCTAGAAGCAGAGGCCTGGCAGACACTGGCTGGTAAGTGCAGAGACATTCAGGATTGAGAACGTGGCAGCTGGACAGGCGGTGAGTGAGCTGTAGTGCAGTTGCCAATGGTAAGATCCAGACTTCCTTAAAGGAATACACCACAGGATAATATGGCAGCAGGTATTGGGTTCCCAATACAGGGGACTGGAGCACAGGGAGAAAATTCTACTCTTTAAGAGTTTAGTTAAGGAAAAGGTGAGTCTACTTAACTGCTTCAAAAAAGACAAAAGCATGGAGCAGGAGGAAGTGGAAACTCAGACATAATTAAATGAGGCAGGACTTCAGTGACTAAACTTGTGCAGGGCTCAGAATAGGGAAACAAATTGCTAGACTGGCATGGTTGGGCTACTATGCTGCTGGCCTGGAGCTTCTTTTTGGCCTAAATAGAAACATTTGGTCTGGGAACCTGGATATAGTGAAACACAGTCGTAGAGGAAGTAGCCCCAGCTACAGGAAGGACTGGCAGAAAGAGTAGGATCGAAATGCCAGGCCAGTCATTACAAGACATTTCTACTTATCACTTCACCCTCCCACAGACAAAACTGGAAAAAAATACCAGCTGTAACCATAAATAGGACTGAAAAAATTCCATTTTGCTCCTCTATGCCTGCCTAGTTCCAACAAGAACTCAACCAAAGACAGAAAAGCTGATGGAAGAAAAAGCTTGTGTGTAATAATTGAAGTTTTACGCAATTTAGATAATACTTGGCTATATACAGGTTAGGTGCTACTCAAATTATATGCAAATTATTTGTTGACAATTTGAATTATTACATGCAATTTTAAAAAGTCAGAAATCCCTTACATCACTTAACTTTCTTGTTCTCTCCATTCTCAATTTTTGTTAGTTGGTGAAAAATCTACTGAGGATTTTAGTTTAAAATTACTTACAGTATTATAAAAATGAGGCTTTATATTTTCACTTTATACTTGTAAAAATATTTCATTCTGGCAATGATATATTTTAAAGCATGTAAATATAAGGAAACTAAGATAGAAAACAAGAAATTATTTGCCTAGTAACAGAAAATAATTAATTAGTCATAGAGACTGGCATATAACCCAGGTTTTCTGATTGCTGATCATGTACTGCAGTGGTTCACAAGAGGATTTAGCTACTGTCACTGCTGTTTTGCTGCTTGGACAAGGCTTACTGACAAGCTCCAGAAATGGAAATAAGTGAAACTGATACGTTTAAAATCTTCTAGGACTGGAATTCATATTCTGAATATCTTTAAAGAAATGGCATCCTGATAAATTCCTCAACATTGTTCTATCTTTTAAAAACATAGCCATTTATAGTTATTCTTTCACTCTCTGTCTCTTTTTTCTCTCTTTGCGGTAAGTTAGTACTGTAAAGTAATTCAAACAATGTAAACCAAAAAAAAAAAAAAAAAATTTAGGGGAGGCAGATATTCTCCATCAAATGACTCCAAACAAGATATCATTCCCAATTCTTAGACAGTAGTCCAAAACATCCTTATATTCAACTTATATTGTAAGGTAAAATATGAACATACTCATTAGAAAAAGAACACTTTTAAATACCCACTCTTTGCAGTATAAATTGAATCCAAGCATTTTTAATATTCTAAGTATAATTATTCATATCTAATCATAAGATGACTATTAGGTCATCATTATTAGCCTAGGAAAGTTTCAATTAGTGTATATAATTAAAAACAATTAAAATTTTTCTTTTTATAATCAAAACTCAGCATCTCCAATGCCTCTACATTACATTACATTACATTACATTAGCATGACTTTGATCATCATCAAAAGCAAAAGAAGAATTAGCCATATCAAAGCTGCAATGCTGCCTGTAAGAACTGACATCTCCCCAAAAGGAAACAGAAATATAAACAGGTCGTTGATTCACTTTTCTTACCAAAGGTGTGGGTATATCCCATTTATTGAGCACTTTGGTCTGGGACAACGTAGCAACAGCACCACCAGCCAGTAGGTTATAAATGTGCATGCAGCACTTGTAAAATTAAGAGCCAGGTGGCTTAGCTTAGGAGTATTGTTTTGTTAAAGAATATTGTCAACGAGGAGATACTAGATAGTCCTATTAGATTATCAAAAAGAAAAATTGATGGTGCAAGTGTTGTTACTGCACTTGAAAAGTACTAGACATAAAAAATTTGGGGAACAATTTTGTGATACACATTAAAGTTAAAGATGTACATACCCAAAACTTTAGTGTAAGACCCAGTAGCCTACTGACTTTTGTACTTTGATATATTACATTTGATAAACCTATTAGATATCTAAAACTGAACTTCTGATTCTCTTCTTCAAAAACTTCTTTCTACATGTTCTCTATGTCAACAAATGACCATCTTTCTTCCAGCTTCCAGCTGTTCAAGCAAAAAACCTCGGAGTTCTCTCTGACTCTTCTTTCTCTCACACCCCACATCACCCCATCTGTCCAGCAAATCTAGGCGGCTCTACCCCTAATATATCCAGAATCCGACCCCTCCACCTCACCTCCACTAGCAAGGCTCTGGTCCAAGCCACTCTCACCTTTCTCTT